TGGCCCCACAAATAGGAGGTGATTTGATAACATGACTATGCCCAAGATTACCATCAAAGTGCCGTCGGTGTAATATCCAACATTGTAATAGTTCTTAACGCTACCCTTGTTGTAATAACCCTTAACCCTACGTCTCTCTACTCTTTCCCTCTTCACGCAATACCCCAGCTTAACACTGTTATAGTCCAGTATGACCCCTCACTGGACTGCCACGAATATAAGCTGAATATTAAATGAGGAAGACACAATAAGAATAGGGGTTATTAATTTATAACTAATAATTAAAATCATTAAAACACTGCCACCACCTTCCCAAACATAAATGAATGTGTCTATATTATTGTTTCCCCAGGAAGGAAGGGACTCAGTAATCATGGAACTCAAAGGGGCAAGCAAATAAATCTTAATGGATTAATACTGTAATCATACTGAACTGAAGGGAGAATTCAAGAGCGACTTTAATATTCATAAGATGGAGGAGAACACAGGAACTTTCCAAGTTAACCCTCAACCAGATATAAAAATGACCAAGTAGGAAAATATATTAAAAACGGGAATTAACTAAATACCACTGAACCAATTATACAATTAATTATTGAACATGTAAATTAAAATCAAAATTGAACATATATCCTACTCTATTATCCCTAAAGAGGCAAAATGGATATCTACTGAGGACAAATCTGGAGGAAAAAACTCTAGATTTCTTGCTCCTGCCATTGCATTGCTTTACAACATATCACTTGAACTCCAAACCTTTCCGGATATTCTAAAAAAAAAAAAAAGAAAAGCGAGAGTAACCCCCAGTCCATAAATGTGGTAATCTCACTCATGTACATAATTTCAGACCTATATCAAGTCTGCCAACCATGTCAAAAATATCTGAAAACCTATTCTACATGCAGCTTTACTCTTATCTAACCAAACACGATATACTTAGTTCTTGCTAATATGGCTTTAGACCCAAAAGAAGCACTAACGATGCACTGATTAGTATGATTAACTTGATGCATGCAGCTCTTGATAAAAATAAGTTCCCTGTTCGTTTATTTGTTGACCTACGTAAGGCTTTTGACACTGTTAACCACCAAAACCTTCTTCTTATATTACATCATTATTGAGTCAGAGGTCACTCCCTCCAAAACATTTAGTCTTACCTTAGTGATAGGCTCCAGTATGTTTCTGTGAATAATTCCATTGCTCCCACTCTACCCAACAACATTGGGTGTTCCACAGGGCAGCATACTTGGCCCTCTCCTTTTGCTCATCTACCTTAATGACCTTCCATATGCCTCTCAACACGTCAACCCAATTTTATTTGCTGACGACACAACTTTCATTTTCTCTAGTCCTAACCTTCTTACTCTGAATGATAGTGAATTCTGAACTAAATAAAGTCCATTTTTGGCTACCTGCTAACAAGCTCACCCTTAACATTCACAAAATATTTTATAGTTTATTTGGTAATAAATCCTCAGATCAATTTAATCTACGAATGAACAATATCCAAATTAGTAACAAAATAGATGGTATTCTTGGTGTTGGTGTTCTCATCGATAACAAGCTTAATTTCCAGGGCCACATTCAAAATATTGCAAAAAAAAAATCTAATACTGTTGACATTCTTCCAAAGATCAGATATTATGTACCTCGCCCTGGCCTGGTGACGCTCAATTACTCTCTCATCTATCCTTATCTGAATTATGATATTTATGCTTGGCGTTCTACAACCCAAAATCTTCTACGTCTTCTAATTAGTCAACACAAAGCTGCTATTAGAACAATATCAAACTCTGGCCCCAGACAGGTCTTGGTACCTTTACTTAAGTTTTTGAATGTGTTAGATATTAAGTCACTACACATCCTCTCAAGTGTATTCTATATATTTATACTCTGAACTGTAATGCCAATCCTGACCTTGAACGCTTCCTAGAAGGTTGTAACAGAACCCATGGGCACCACACCAGAGACAAATACCTATTTGATATTCCTAAAGTGCGACCTAACAAAATTAGTAATGCTCTAGAAATCAAGGGACCCAGAATGTGGAGTGACCTTCCCAATCATGAAAAATGGTTGTACCTCTCAATCAGTTTAAGAGGAAAAACGAAGTATTACCTAATAAACTCCATGTAACCTACCTTAGCCCCCCCCCCCACCCTAAATGACTTATCAAGTCATCCCATGTCTTGCTATTTTCAAACAATACAGTTTTGTTAACCAACTTGTAAAACTGCTGGTGATTTCCGCCATTTTGTTTTTTGTTTATTTGATTTGATTTTGATACCCATCAAACAGGTGGTAGCGGACCCAATACCCAGCCTGCGGGCAGTAGGTTGGGTATTGGGTCCACTACCACAGATTCTATTGGGTCTGTGGTAATCACCACAGATTCTCAAAGGAATTGATAGGGTAAATCAAGACAGGCTATTTAATACAAGGAACACACGCAGGTGGAAATTGGGTGCCCAAATGAGCCACAGAGATATTAGAAATAACTTTTACTCCATACACAGTTTGAAATTTAGATAGGATAAAGCCCAATAGACTCAGGAACCATCAATTGATTGACAGATGAGAGGCGGGACCAGAGAGCCAACGCTCAACCCCCGCAAGCACAACTAGGTGAATACAACCAGCTGAGTACACACATTATTTCTTATACAGTATAAACAAATGAGTCGCTTCCCATTCTTCTAAGAGGATATATCAACTGAATACAAAACTAGGAAGAAATCCTTTTAATTCAGGAAAATTTTAAGAGTTACATTCATATGGTCCCTCATAAGTCCATAGGTCTATTGCAATGTTCTAATGCCTGTTGCAGTGTTCTCATGCCTATTGTGGGAAAACTTGACTCAAGTACATCATTTAAATGGATACTATTTCGATAACTTACGAAGGACCACCACTTTTTTAGACAAAGTAGAATAGAGAGTAGAGCAAATGGTTTGATATTTAACTACAGGAACTAGTGTCCTATGGATGTTTTAATTAATATTACATTGAATATTCAAGGGGTCTGTATGTTATGAATCAAATCTGCTCACCTGAAATGGGAGGTTACATGCAAAAAGATTAATATATCCCAAGCATGATTCTGGCGCTGGTTCTTTGCCAGATTAATATGTAAGTAAATTAAATTGATTATATAAGAATAATTAGAGGGAAATGTACCTCAAAATACTACAATAATAAGGCCATGTATATGGTCAAATAAATGGGTTAGTATAATTGATCTCATTAGATCATTAAAGTATCTACATTGGTTATTTCTCTACAATAACAATTAACAGCTTAGCTATGAAATTAAGAGAGATGAAATCGGTTGCCACACTCCACTGACGACATGTTGCGTCTGACAAATTGTTGAACATGAAGGTGGGGAAGCCTAGCGCCTCGCTTGACGTGGCCTCGGGAGCTGGAAGGCAATTACAATGTAAAACTCTTCTACGTAACTAATTACAGATACATTTAATACGGAATTCTTCCTAAATATCTGTCACTGCAGAATTCTTCTGCAGAAATGAATAAACTATAAATTCCTATATAAATTACGGAATATTGCAAGAGAGGAGACCGTAAATAGACCTGAACTAACTATTGGTTTCAGGGTCTTCATGCCACTTGATGACGAGTAATTAACCTACCAGTTTGTTACGTATGCATACTTTATCAAACCTTAATAGGACGTTACTACATTAAACTCCTAGACAAAACTTTATCAGCTGGATCTGCAGGTGATCTCTCTCACGCTGCTAATATGGCGTCCTCCACGCAAGTGGACTCTCCTTCCTCCCTGGCTGCGATACGCATGCGCGGAACACTCAAAGTGATCTCGAGCTTAAAGTATTTTATTTACTTATTATTAATCAGGGAAATGAAGACTTGTGACTGATATTTATATCACTGATATTTATAATAAGGCGCAATATAATTTTTGCATAGTGCGATTTAGCTTACTAAGACTGCACAAAATAAATGAAAGGAATATTATATATTGTTTTATACTATAATAATTTCCACTGTAGTTATTAATACACCTAAATTAACGAATTCAGTAAGCAATAATATGCTATGTAAATAATCAACTAAATAAACGAAGATCCTTAGTAAAGGAATGTAACTAACTAAACTCTGTTTAGATGCAACTAAATGTGGAGAGAATTCATGTTTTAGCCTGTCGATACCTCCCGGCGTCATTCTGACTGTAGGAAGAATTTGGCAAATATTGCTTCGTAATAGAAACATTAATTGAATTAGTTCTACAAATTAGTAGGTTTAGTAATCACTACGATTAATACAATGGTGATGTATTATAATACAAGATATGATGTATTAGTGTTGGAAAATTTCCAACACCTATTGCAGTGTTCTCATGCATACTGCAATGCTCCTGTGTTTTAAACTACTGGGCATCATTCAGCAAGACGACAATCACCAACATATGCATGTCGGGCCGAACTATAAGTTCCTTAGCAATTCGAAAGTTACAAACATGCGAATCACGTGCAAATATGATTGGTTTCCCAACAGGACAGTCAGACTTGATTCAATAACATGACACTCATTAACTACCATCATTATTATATAAGCACCACCTAACATGACACGAGCCATAATTCTAGGTAAAAGTTGTGTTTGACACCATTCCTTCCCTCCGTCCCATCCCAAATTCCATATTCTGTTCCCTTTAATGTACAATATAGACGTAACGGCTTGGGGTTTTCCCCTGATAGTTCTGTTCCCCTCGAACTTTGCCTTGACCTCCGCCTCAGACAGGTTAAGGAAGACGTCTTGAAGGTACTTGTCACAGCTCTAGTAAGGAACCGGCAGCCTTCAAGTGCCCGTCAATGACATCTTCCCTAAACTCTAACCAAAAGTCAGACCAAAGTTTGAGGGGAATAATTGTCATTTTAAATGCATCGGAGGCATAAGCAGTTAGTTAATAACACTAACCATGGATAAAAAAATTACATAGTGCAATTAGTTAATCTCACCATTTGTTTCTGGAGAGCAGAATAGTTGTCTTTTCTATTCCTGTGGTCGTCTCGCACAACTGGACGGTTGAAGAAAACCACAGTAACGACCACTATGGCTGTCAGGAGCGCTGAGGCCACAGGAACCGTCCTCATCATGTCGACCAGATCTTTGAGAGAGAGAGTGAAGGGTGTATGAGAAAGTAGGCAGTGAGAAAGTAACGCAGGAAGTTACAGTACTCGTAATTCTGTGGCCCGGGTTCGATTCCCGGACCAGGCAAAAACAAATGGGCAAAGTTTCTTTCACCCTGATGCTTCCGTTACAGAACAGTAAATAGGTACCTGGGAGTTAGCCAGCTGTTATGGAGCTGCTTCCTGGGTGTGTATTTGTCTGTGGGTGGGAAAAAAATTTAGTAGTTACAGTTTATTGATTGACAGCTGAGAGGCGGGCCAAAAGAGCACAGCTCAAGATTCAGGGGAACAGCTTACCTGTAACGATTCGAGAAAGAGACCTGGGAGTGGATGTGACACCTAATCTAACTCCTGAGGCACCAACCCGTTCTCACACAAGACAGCACATATATGACTTAATGCTTAAAGTCAATATGTTGAATATGATTTAGTACATATGTGATATATTAAAAGTTACCTTTTTTACCAAGGCCCAAACTCTTCCTCACGTACCAATTTAAGTGTCACAGTACCCGTCCATCAACGTAGATAGCAGAATAGTCATGATTGGTTCAATTATAATGAAAATTGTAGTTTTCAGGTCCCACATGGGTTGTGAAATTTACCTACTATTGTCCATGGTCTTAGAATATTACAGATCAGCTACTTCCTATTGAAGGCTCGTAGTTTTGTTTTGAGAAATATTAGTTGTTCTTAGTAAATTATAATAAGCACTATAAATTATTACATAGAATAACAGTGCTTCACCAATCAATATTATATACCATAGTTTGCGCTTTAAAAATCTTTAAGGAATGTTTTGTAGGAACGCTAACAGAAAACGATGTTATGTTGGAATGTTTATGGGGTAAACTACTGCAAACTTGGGGATCACTTCCACCCACAGGAAGGGAATGGGGTCCAATACCATCCACTGGATGTGTATGGCGTCCACTACCACCGGCAGGATGGGTATGGGGCTCACAACCACCCACAGGATGGGTATGGGGTCCAATACCACCCACAGGATGATTATGGCGTCCACTATCACCCACAGGATGGGTATGGGGCTCCAACCACCCACAGAATAAGTATGGGGTCCAATAACACCCACTGGATGTGTGTGGCGTCCATTGCCGCCCACAGGATAAGTATAGGGTCCAGTATTGCCCACAGGATTAGTATATAGAGTCCACTGCCGCCCACAGGGTCGGTAAAGGGTCCACTACCGCCCACAGAGTTGGTAGGGGGTCAACTGCCGCCCACAGGGTCGGTAGGGGGTTCACTACCGCCCACAGGGTCGGTATGGGGTCCACTGCCACCCACAGGGTCGGTATGGGGTCCACTGCCACCCACAGGGTCGGTATGGGGTCTACTACCGCCCACAGGGTCGGTAGGGCGTCGACAGGGTCGGTAGGGGTCCACTACCGCCCACAGGGTTGGTAGGGGGGTCCACTGCCGCCCATAGGGTCGGTAGGGGGTCCACTGGCGCCCACAGGGTCGGCAGGTGGTCCACTACTGCCCACAGGGTCGCTATGAAGTCAACTACCACCCATAGTGTTTGTATAGTGCCCACTACCGCCCATAGTGTTATTATGGGGTCCACTACCCCTCATAGTGTCGGTATGGGGGTCTATTACTACCCATAGGGTGTGTCTGGGGTCTATTTTTTTCTGTATAGCAGAGGTGGCAATACTGCTTTTCCAATCTCATTTGTTGTTCAATGTAAAATATTTGTTGCTCGACTTGCAACAATTTATATATATATATATATATATATATATATATATATATATATATATATATATATATATATATATATATATATATAATATAGTATAGTGCCTTTGCAATAATGTACCAATGTGTGTATTTGTTGTATTGTATTGTTGAAATACATTGTTCACATGAAATACATGTGAAATATTGTTGAAAACATCTTGATGACTTATTAAACCAAAATTATTTATTAGTCAGAAGAAAGACAAAAACGCGAACTATATGTTAAACCTCTACCAGACAAATATTTTAAGTAAAACCGAAATTATTTGAAGTTTTATAAAAGGGGCAGTTTTCATTGCTCGTCGAGCTCGAAAACCGCAGAATTCATCTCAGAACCATGCCTATTTCACACAGATTTCTTAATAAACGTAAGAGTTTTATATGTCACAAGAAAGATATAAATATAAGCTTCATTCTAAATACCTTACCATGGGCATATTTAAATTTAAAGCGAAGATACGTGTACTTTTATAATTGCCGAGCTTTAACCCCGGACAGATTGATCGACCGAGCAACTCTCTCTCAGAACAATATTTATTTCAAGTGAATTCGTTAATAAACATATATGTTTTATATGTCTCAAGAAAGGCAGACATATAAGCTTCACTTTAAACACTTTACCATAGACATATTTATAGTTCTAATGAAGATACATGTATTTTAAAAATAACAGAGCTCCCACCCTGTACAGACTGAACGACAGAGCAACTCTCTCTCAGATCAATGTTTATTTCACGTATATTCGTTAATAAACACAAATGTTTTATATGTCTTAAGCAAGATAGAAATAAGAGCTTCATTTTAAATACATTACAATAGACATATTTATAGCTCAAGTGCAGATACATATGTTTTTATAGTAGCGCTCAGTAGCTTGTCGGGCATGGAGTGCAGACGCCTACGCACTTGCAGATATATTGTATAATTAACAAAGATACGCTAATAAAGCCTAAAATCTTATATGCCTCCAGAAAGACCGAGATATGAACATTATTATGATTTCACCAAATGAAATATATCATGTTCGAGAACAAAGATATATCAATTTTAAATTAAGTTTCGACTCTTGCTCGGGCGAGAGAGATGGGGCGACTCTCGCCCCATCTATTGGAGATTCTGTCCACTAAAGACCCAAAGCTACTCAAACCCGCCTAGCATTATTTAAGTAATGAAGTAATATGGTATATTTACTATAATGTGGGTGCTGAATGCAGAACGTGAGAAAACATATATTTACTCCAAACTAATATAATTTCATTATGAAATAAGTAAATAAGTAGCATCAAAGGAAGTCGACGGTCCAAGCATCAATGTTGTGGAGCGACTTATCCAAGATATATCATTGTTTGGTAAGTGTTTGTTGGCATATCCAGTGGTCGCACTTCTCTGCACAAATTATCACAAATTTAAATTATAATGTTAACAAGTAGAATACGTATTTTTAATAAAATCTAACATAACTAGCCAGAAAACATTTAACATTTATTAAAAAATATATGTTTGGAAGTTAAATCGACTTCATAGGACAATAGTTTTGTTATATATACTCGTTATTCGTTGACATGCGTTCGCTACTTAAACTACCATGTACTGTACTTATGTAAAATCTCCCATGTCGAGTTCAAGTTCAAGTATGTTTATTGAGATAAGCAATAAATACATCTCAAAGGGATAGAGTAGCTTAGGCTATTTCTACCCCCCTCTACTTCAAGTCCCTCAAGGGGCGCACAAATTCAGTGAGTACAAATAGACAAATAACATTACAAGAATCCCATTAAATATCCCATGTCTCTTCGCTCATCTCACCGAACCCTACAGGCTCTGTGATATATTGTTTAATTAATTGAGATTCACAAATAAAGCTTATAATTGTATCTGTTAACAAAAAGGCAGAGCTTAGTTTAGTTCATTTATTATGCACCCCATACCCATCCTATGGGCGATAGTGGAGTGTTACAGAGGCACATAATGGGCTCAGGGACTGAGCCCCACAATTCATATAGCCAAGGAAGTTATAATCTTGATAAGCTAGTTACAAAAGTCAATGCACATTGTCACATCAACAATGGGCTCGAGACCGACCACAAGTACAGTTTATAATTTAAGCAACTGACATATATGGAGGGCTAGTGTCACAATTGATATGTTTATCCTACACATAACCCCCTCTCCCCCATCCAATGGGCAGCGGTGGATAGGTTACAATCAAGTCGTTTTTTGCGTTTTATTCAGAGATTAGATCTTATTGGGTGCGGAAAGATATTCATATTTTAAAGAAGGCTTCTTGGCTGATGCTCTCCATTGATGGAAAATATACAACCTTTGAAAATCAATGTTAGTTTGATCTAGATATTGTAATTAACGCAGTTACCTGATGTTATTCTTCACCTATATCTTTTTCTGGTTAATCCCTATTTACATTATGCAGTTCAGGTTTCGTCGCCAGACTATAGTTTTTAGTTTAGTTAATTTATCACATAATGGGTTCAGGGACTGAACACACAATTTATTTATCTAAGCAAGTTACAATCTTGAGGAGCTAGCCACAAAATTCATAACACATCGTCACAACAACATGGGTTCGAGATTGACCACAAGTACAGTTTCTAAATTAAGCAAATGCCATATGTGGAGAGCTAGTGTCACAATTGATATGTTTGTCCTGCACATTTCCAAAGTGGTTTGCTTGGGTTCTTTTAATTATCTTAGATAACATTGAAGAGAACCTCCTAGGTACTATACTGTATATATGCTGGTAAGAAGTATAATTATCCTGAGAAATCGTGTAAATTATGTTGTACGAGTGCTTCCAGTTAAGTAACATAGTTCATTTGTGTGCGCGTGCTTGAAGAGGAAATGTTATCCCCCCCCCCCATTGTAAATATTTGTGGGTTTCAGACCATACGGCCGCGGCTTATCCTCGCCGCGGTCGAGGGTAAGAACACTGGACTGGATGTATATACCCAGTATTACAAGTAAACATTAGCAATAACAATTATGGAAAGTTCCTTCACCTATACATAGACAAGAGACTGAACTTCAGCACCCACATACAACACATAAGGGGATGCTCTGAGAGAGAGAGAGAGAGGGAGAGTAAAATTATCCACTGAGGTCTGATTAAGTCCTTTTGGGGACCTTAATCATTAGGACGTCCAATGATTAACGCAAAGTGAAGCGTATTCAGATGGTATATTGACAACATTCAGCATATCTC